AACCCGTTCAACACATGCTCTCCTTCACTTAAAAGTCTGTTTGCTTATCGCCCGGAGCGTTTCTTTTGCAATCTTTGCCGAAGGGGGTGATTCTGTTGGTTTCCGTTTTCCGTCCGCTCATCAAACAAAGGAACTCTTTTGTCATTTTCTGTTGGATAATGTCAGGTGTTATTATCTAATTCGTTTCTGGTTTCCTTCGTCCCATACTTCTCGAAGACGCCGCCCTCAACCATACTGTCCCAACTCTGTGCATAACGGCATTCTACGTCAGGTTTATCACCATATGTATTCAACCCTCCGAATGTAGCGGATAGCAGCATTCAATTCGATTTCAACGCAAGCGAATTCCTTATCAACTTGTTCATGAGAGACCCGAATCAGCGTGTAACGCAAACAAGATATTGTGGAACGGACGTGTAAGAAGCTGGGGAGGAAAACAGCATTGCTTCCTTACACAAGAGTATCACGACGTCAAACAGACCGGCTCTCAGACCGACGTCACCAACCACAAACGGGAACGTCTCTGCTTCTTGTTTTCAACCAGCGAATGAGGCGCAACGCCTTTGTTGCCGTATATCCGTCCATTTCGTATCACTTATCTTGGACAACGCGAACACGTCACCCTTCGTGTCTTACAAGACACTAGAGCAACTAGCTGCAAGTTCGACCCGTCGCGACCGCTTCCCACCAAACGCCCAACGGTCGTTAGATTTCGCCACGGCGATTCGGATTTCACCCTTTCTTCACATCGAATTCATCAACCATAGACTCACAATGTTGTCGATGCCAGCACCTCGGATGCTCTCAATGACGGGTTCAAGATCCAGTCGGAACGTTCCCATCATCTACGTCTTGTTGGCAATCTGCCTCTTACTCTTCTTCGTCCAAACCGAGTTCGGATACACAGTCATCGAGAAGGTGGCCGACGCGAAACCACCAAAGATCAACAGCCTCACATCGACACCGACACCGAAACCCAAATACAAGCCGCAACCGACATGGACACCATCACCCGTCAAAGATCCTTTCCCGCTCCTCTCTTCGGGCATGCCGCCGCCGGTTCCATCGTGGAATAGACCCGAAAAGCCCAACGTCTACCACAAATACTCCTTGACGACCGCGCCGCCCCTGATGATCGGCTTCACGCGGAGTTGGCCGATGCTGCTGCAGACAGTTGTCGGATACATCACCGCTGGGTGGCCAGCCGAGCAGATCTATGTCGTGGAGAATACCGGCGTTCACGATTCGAATGCTCGGGGCCGGTTATCGCTGCAAAACCCGTTCTATCTCAATTACACGCAGCTCCACATGCTCGGCGTTCACGTCATGCGCACGCCGGTCCTGCTCAACTTTGCGCAGCTCCAAAATTTCTTCATCACAGTGGCAAAGGAGAAGCCGTGGTCGTACTACTTCTGGAGCCACATGGACGCTTTCGTCCTCTCTAGCGAGGAAGGAATCCCAGGAGTCTCTGGTGCGGTCGGCACGCCCGAGTATCAGACCATCTACGAGCTGGCCGTCAAGGAGCTGAATGAGACGATGCGATCAGATCACAAGTGGGGCGCACGCTTCTTCGCATACGACCACCTCGCCCTGGTGAACCCGCGCGCTTACGAAGACGTCGGTGGCTTCGACACGTTCATCCCGTACTACATGACTGACTGCGACATGCATTGGCGGCTCGAAGAGGCGGGATGGAGCATCAAAGAGGCGCAGGCGGGTATCGTCCAGGATGTTGCGTCAGTGCTGGATGACTTACGCGTCCTTTACCGCGAGGGGGAGGTTCCCGAGGGGTTTGGCTTCACGGATCCGAACCCACCACAGAGCAAGGTTTTAGGCGAGGTCCCCCTGGAAGACGACAAGCGGAGCCTGCCGGTACCTGACGCTGTTCCGGAATTGGATGAGACGGGAGCGCCGGTGGACGATGCGGCTGATGGCGTGGAGGAAGATTCAACGACGGCTGTTGATCCTTTGACATCTTTCAGAAGGCTGCACAGAATCAGCCAGGATATGTTCAACCATAAGCATGCGGATCGCGAGAGGAATACTTGGCAGTTGGGTCAGAGGGGAGGAGATCCACGGGAGCCTTATTCATATGATGCCCTTGGGTTCCAGATTGGGATAGACGTCATGACGGAGGCCGGACGGGAAACCTTCCGTCGGAAATGGGGTCATAGAGGTTGCGATTTCGGTGCTGCTGGATTGAGGCCCAGCGATGCGTGGAAAGTAGAAAAGGATTGGGAATAATGGAGTTTGGAGGCAGGGAAGAGGAGTACGGACATACACGGAATCGGCGTCAAGGAACAGTGTCCTAATGAATTCATATTTGTTTCACTTTACGAAATGGTAGTCGGATCTTCAAATAAATACCACTTTCTTTCTTGTTTCGTTTGATTCAACCCGCTGTTGACTCCGTCCGAACTTAGGGAATCCATCAGTCGTGGAGAGGTCAAGACTCAGAGACCTTTGAAGCTAGCGCAGGTTCCAATCAAGGATGTCAATTCCAATATCTTGACGCAAAGGCCTCCAGTGTAATAGCCAGTCGGAGAGGGCTAGGTACCTTACCTACTCACTCCGAAGACGACAGGGAATCAGCGTTGCATCACATCTTCGAGTTGCACAGGGGAGCTAACTGTGTCCAGGCACGGCTAGCTGCTTACTGAAGTGGGGTAGACAGGCAGCAATCTTCAGCAGGCTGGAAGCTTATTCCTCATTCTCATGAACTTCTAGCTGACAACAACCGTTCTCATTCAACGGTCTTGAGCCATTTATTTTCTGCTACATACATTTGCCTGAATAGATACACTGTGCTTACGCAGTATGCTAGCTACCAAACTCGAAAATCTTCCTCCAGAGGTGTTGACTGCGATCTGTACATCACTCGGAGACGACCAAGCGGGACTCTTGTCGATCTCTAAGGCTTCAAAATATCTGCGGGCTATTTCAGCCCCCATCATATTCAAACATATCACCGTCACGACAAGCACGGGGACACGTCGACCTCGAAGATCTAGCCCTCGTTCAACTCGCGATACCCGAGCGAACTTACTGCGCACCATAATCACCAAACCAACAATCGCCGCGCATGTCTCTAGTGTCCATTGTCCATCATCACGGGGCGCCGTGCCTGCCATCAACGAGGAAGACATGGATTTCATCCTTCAGACAGCCTCCAAATTTGACGTCCCGGTTCCGGAACTACTCCGCCTCGGCGGTGCTCACCCTTCTCTCGAGGGTAGGCGGGGTTGGGCCCTTAGTGACGACGATATGCAGCGGCTCGTCACTGTGCGTGCGTTCTTCGCAGAACTCATCATCGCACATACGCCCAACATCCTCACACTCGACTATAGTATAGGCCGCTATCGGAATGCCTTCCAAGTGTTAATGACGATTCAAGACTCATCCTCGTTCCACCGCCAGCCCATGTTCCCCTTGTTGAAAAACGTCCACCTGCGGCTATTCGGGCCCGGCACCTTTCTACGGCCACTGAGTGAGATGGCTCCCAATCTTCAAACCCTCCGTATACAGGGCGTAACGGCACCGATGGAAGGCTGGCATTTTGAAAAGGTCAAGGATCTCCGACTTGGCTCATCAAACTTCACGGGCTCAGAGCTCAGGGGCATCTTGACAGGGTGTCCCGCTTTAACTAACTTTGAGTACGATTACTATTCTCTCAGAGACGAAAGATGTGCTCCGCAAGATGTGGTTGACGCTTTGGAGAGCTTTGAACCACAATTGGAAGGACTTTCTTTAAAGTTCCATTCCAACACGTGGGCAGGCCGGAGAAGAGAGCCATCGATTACGGATCAGAATCAGCCCAATTCGGGGCTCATCACCTCTCTAAAGCATTTCACAGCCTTGATGAATTTACAGCTTGACAGTGTGTGCTTGTGGGAAGACGCAGTTGAGGGATCGGCCGGCGAGGATCAAGGAAATGGGACGGAACAAATATTCGTCAATCTTCTACCAAGAGCCGTAAGGAGTTTGCGCGTCACATACAAGAGCCCTAGACCGTTCCATGATGCCCTGCCCGTTTTTGCGCGCAATCTTGGGGATTGCTGCCCTGAGTTGCAACTAGTTCACAACAAACTGCTTTTTGATGGTCCGTTGTCTCAAGGTCTCTTGGACCAACTGCGGCAGGTTAGAAAACAGTTTGTGTTACTTGGTCTCACTTTTGAATTCGATGTTTCGAGGCTAAATGGATGTGTGTATGTCAACTTGGATGATGGAGGTCTGCCGGTTTCCATTGAGACGATGACTGAAGAAGAATGGATTCTTTCTGAATTAGGCTGATATGGAAAACATTGAATCGTTTGATAATTGAAGACTAAAAGATAAATTTGTCCTCAGTATCAGTACTTCTCTACGAAACATCGAAGAAACCAATTCTTGTCATCGAAACAGGTTCAATGATGAAAGAAGCGTACTGGTGACCAAGTCGCATCCAAGAGTCATCTGCACCAGCTTTTACTCGGGCAAGACCCTTGAAATTTGCAATCACCTATTAAGAACAGAGACCAGTATCTGTTCGGATGACTCACCAAAAAAGACCATGTGATATGAAAGCTTGTTATTGGCTGAGTGGCTCTTAGGAAGTAGGCGTCACACTGTCACAGCGGGGTCGAATAGGCAGCCGTAGGCTCACTAGAACTCCTGGAAAGTTACTGAGTTTTCTGGAGGACATGATGAAATCTGGCATATAAGGCTCAAAATCACTTGAATTTCAGGAAAGACGTTGAATCACTTTCGTGACTCTGCAGCTTTTCTCAATAAGGTAGTCTCAAACTTCTCAGCTCAAGATCCTAGCCGCAAGGGGCCGTCAATCGCACACCAAGCCCCCAATGGCTACATCGACAAGCCTAGAGCACCTTCCGACAGAGATTCTTTCCCAAATCTGTATTCAATTGAATGAAAATGGAGGTTCGCACATATTGAGACTATCATTGACCTCGAGAAGATTTCGGGTTATCACGGTCCCACACATATTCGAGCGACTGTTCTTTATGACGCCTCCTTACTCAAACATTTTCGACGAGAACACTACAGATAGCCGGATAGGCCTTCTTAGAACGGTTGTCACTAATTCTAAGATTGCCGTTGAGGTCAAAGATATTGAGGGCTTATTCGGTGGAAAAGGACAAATGGCCAAAGAAGACCTCGGTATCATCATTCGGGCAACCAACGACTTCGGAATCACACCACCAAAAGCTCTTACTCGGCTTTACGAACAGTTGAGGCCTTTAGAAACGGCGCCAGATATCCAGTTTGGTATCAATCATGGAGTTTGCAAGCACTTGAGCTGTTTCATGACAGAAATGCTTGTTGCTCATACACCCAACCTCCGAAGTTTAGAGTACAATGTCCACGGCTGCTCGAACGCATTTAAAACACTTGAAGAGGCGGTCAGAACTCACTTCAGGGTTCCGCTGCTGCCTAATCTGATAGATGCTTACATCGAGTTGAACGGTCCAGCGGATCAGGTCAACTCTTTGGCAGAGGCTGCTCCGGCTCTAGACAGCCTCTGGCTGAGTTCCGTTTGCGGACTTCAATCCGGCATGCAATTCAACAGCGTCAGAGTCTTAATCTTAACCCAAGTAGATTTGAGTCCTGCCGAGCTCAAGAAACTCCTGAGCGGTTTTCCTGGCCTCAAGAAGTTTTGGTTCACATCAAGCTACCGCCCGATGCGAATGGGGGGCACGTCCCTGCTGTGCCGACCCCAAGAGGTGGTAGATGCCCTCTGCGGTCTTAACCTGGGGATCACAGAGCTGACGCTGCACTTCAATTCTTGGGACTGTAATGAGCCGAGCCAGGACTCTGATATCCCTCTGCCTGGTCTTCTTACCTCGATTCAGGGGCTCGACAAACTGGAGGATCTGGATTTTGACGGGATGTGCTTCTGGGGTAGAGGCTATTTCTTACATGGATCACCGACTTATGATCCTGTGAAAGTTCAGGCCCTCGCAGGGCTTCTTCCTTGTAGCCTCAAAAAGCTAACACTGACGAATTTGAAGAATGGCCCATTTTATGAAGATTTGGAAGCATTGCCGGAGAGGGTATCGGAAATCTTGCCGGAGCTGAGAGTGCTGGAGTGTGGACTGCGACATGGAAAGAAGATGCCACAGGATAAGTTGCGGTACCTGACGGAACGCTTCACGGCCCAGGGAGTCAAGTTTCAAGACTCGGCAAATATTCATTCGAGCGACGATGAGGACGGTTAGATAACTTGGGCTTGACCTACTTACAAACTTGCCAATCTGGACCGAAATTACTCTCAATCAACCCAAAGGCTCACAAAACCACTTCCCGTCTGTCTAAATTTAGACTGGCAATGGAACTAGGAAGCTTTTGATGTACCGTGAAGGGAGCGAGGTGGAATCACTAGGTGTCTATTGTGCTGCTGCGATGATTGCGCTCGAGCGATGAAGGAATATCCGCATCGACTTTGACTCTTTTGACACTGAGGCTGGATAATCATGACCACAAGTCAGCGATTCTTGGCAGCTGGGATAATTGGACTGAAAACTCGCTTTTGTCCTTGGCCTGCATTTTAGAGCCTTGGCAATTAATCACCATCTTATCGAGCTGCCTTTTGTGAAATCCCCCCTCTCTGCGGAGTTGCTTCCGCCCCAACCTTTACTTGCCTCTTGATAGAGTGGTCGACCAAAGCCATATACATCAACCCGAACGTTGACGCCCAAGAAACCAGGCGACTTCTTTGGACTCAGGAATAGCTTCAAAAGTCCCTGCGGCCTCCCAAATACAGACGTTTGTTCTAGAACCCAATGGCCCTGGGTAAATCAGAACCATCGCCAGTAAGCTGCAGGCCACTATTCGGACTGAATTGGGTCCTAACCGCCGCGCGGGGTGACATTCGGGGGTCTAGCATGGCCTACCCCGGGCCATGCAGATCGGCTCGTTCCACTAGCACGCTGGCCACCAATCGTCGCCGTTGAGGGAGCTTTAAGCTTAAACCTTAAGGGCAGGTGAGAAGGATTTCGAAGGGTTGCGTGCGAGTTGCGTGCCCAAGTCGCTTGGCAAAGGCGAGCATGTCAACTACCCGCCTTCCTCATTCTATTCTGACTTGTCTGCAAATCATCAGCCGGATGTCTTGGGAAAAAGACTTATGTAGGCTTTGCCCTTGAGTGAGGCTCGCTAATCTCTCTCCATATCCAGGTAAGGAAGGTGATCAGATAACATTTACAGTCAAACTCAGATGTTATTCAAGGTTTGCACTAAGCTAGCAAAGGTCCTCGACTGACAGCCCGACGCCTGACCAACTCATAGCTCCTCACTGGCATAGCAGCTGCCCGAGCTAGGCATGCAAGCCCCAGAGTGTTCATCCCTACTCCGAGGTGGAGTTATTGTCACGGCAGTGGCTGGTCGGACCCTTGACGACTGGTTTGTTGCACCCGAACTGGTCAGGCCATGTCCTCGGGAAGGCTAGCGACGTATGGCAAAGCCCTGATATTTCGAACCTGTATGGCTACAACCGAATCTGGTAAAATTGACCATGGAACTGTAAGCCGAGTGACCGGGGCCATAGTCTCGCGGGGATGCTGGGATTAGACCGCAACCCCAGAGCTTATCAGGGTACTACCAAGACAGCAGCAATCACACCTACCACTTTCTGCAAAAGGCCGTTGGTGACACTGCGTCGAAATAGCTTACCGAAAGACTTCAACTGGTGACATCAGCAATTTGCTTTACCATCTGATCTCCATAAATAGAGACGGGTGATCGCTCCCGCTATCCCAGCTTTTCTCTAGCACTCCAGTCTTCAGCTCACTGCACCGCCAAGCCGTTTTTGGAGTCTGCCGTTGACAATGAAGTTCCTCGCTGGTCTGTCCCTCGTCCTGCCGCTGGCATCCGCCGCGGCTGTGGTCCCTCTCGAGAAGAAGATCACCTACGACGGCTTCAAGGCCTTCCGTATTTCCACGCATAACGACCCCGCGTCGATCAAGAAGAAGATTGCCAACATTGCGGCGATCCCATTCAACCTCGACAACAGCGAACACCTTGACGTTGCAATCCCCGCTGGCGATGTCTCCAAGTTTGAGGAGCTTGGTCTCGAGACATCCATCCTTCACGAGGACCTTGGTGCTGACATCGCCGAAGAGGGCACTTTTGCTCCCTACAAGAGTACGTCTCTCCATGCCGAACTTCAAAGAAGATTTAGTGAAGAAGACTTGGTCTGACATTGAACAGGCAACGACGATATCTCTCTTCAGGCTCTCCCCAGCCTGACGTGGTTTGACTCGTACCACACTTTTGCCGACCACCAGCAGTTCATCCGCGATCTGCAATCCAACTTCCCATCCAACTCCGAGTTGATCAACGCTGGTAACTCTTACGGCGGACGCTCCCTCCTCGGTATCCACCTGTGGGGTAGCGGTGGTAAGGGCTCCAAGCCGGCCATCTACTGGCACGGCACCGTCCACGCTCGCGAATGGATCACCACCATGGTAAGTTGTCGAAATTGGATGTCGATATGATTTGTGTTGCTAATATGCGACAGGTTGTCGAATACCTCACCTACCAGCTCATCGACGGCTACCAGAAGAATGATGCCGCTGTCAAGGCTCTCCTTGACAAGTACGACTTTTACATTCTGCCCATTGTCAACCCTGACGGTAAGACGCATCGATCAATGAACCGTCGCCCTTTGACCAAATAGCTGATTTCACCAAGGCTTTGCTTACACTCAGACAAACGACCGCCTTTGGCGCAAGAACCGTCAAGTCAGATCCGGCAGCACTTGCGTCGGTACTGACATCAACCGGTGCGTCCATCACTTCATTGATTACGAGAATCAGAACTGACGCCCAATAGCAACTGGCCTTTCAACTGGCAACTCCCCGGCGGAGCCTCGACTAACTACTGCTCCGAGACATACAAGGGCCAGGCCGCCGGCGACACCCCTGAGATGGTCGCCCTGAAGGCTTACACCGACCGCCTCGCCGCCGGCAACGGAATCAAGCTCTTCATCGACTGGCACAGCTACGGCCAGTACATCCTCCTGCCCTACGGCTACGACTGCTCTGCCCGAGCCTCCAACCACGCCCGCCAGATGACTCTCGCAACAAACACTGCCAACACCATTGCCCAGGCCTACGGCACTCGCTTCACCTACGGACCTAGCTGCTCGACTCTATATGCCACCACTGGTAGCGCTCCGGACTACCTCACTGGGGCTGCTGGCGCTGAAGTCGCTTGGACTATTGAGCTGAGACCCTCTGGATCTGCTGGCGGTGGGTTTGTTCTTCCTGCTGCTCAAATCCTTCCCAGTGCGATTGAGCAGTGGAACGGCATGAAGTACCTGCTAGCAAATGTATAATTGATGACATCAAGACGTTGAGTCAGGCTCTTGATTCAAGATTAGCGATGGCTAGAATCTCTTTTGGAGCTGAATGAGAAATCACAATGGCACTCACCCATTTTTGACACCTAACAAAGCTTCGGGAAGAGAAGAATGACAAAGATTTGATTCCAGTCCATATGAACAGCAACGACGGGTGGAAGTAAGGAGGCGCTACATTGTTTTTATTTTCGCCATGGTTCTATCCCATCTTCTGCCATCTGGCGCTAGTACGTCCGTCTCTAGCCTCTCTCCAACTTCAATTTGCTCCCCAAATTAATTCGTAAGCGGATATAAAGGGAAAAAGAGGCATGACAGATACAGAATCCTGCATCACTCGTTAGGAAAGTACTTTCATATAGAACCGCGCCATCTAGCAGTTGACAAGATACACTACCAGAGAAAATTGTTTGCAGAATCGCTGCGTTAAGGTCAAGCGGAATCTGGATCACATCACTAACCCACAACTAGGAAATGCCTACCTCTCGACTCAAGTAATTCGTCCAGCCAGAGTCCTTTGCCCCTCATGCCGTATCGCCATCTGTTGTGTTTATTTGTCAAATTCAAGGCACAGGTAGTTTGGGAAACCCGTTAAGGCACCCAGAATAATGAAGCCATCAACATGCTCTACCCTTTCGCTCGTCTTAACTCCTACTCATCGCCGCTTCCGGGCTTTGACAACCTTGCGACGCTCAGGGCCCTACACCGCCTTGGGTAATCTGAATAACACGGCTGAGTAATATTATGATGAAAAAAGTGTTGTTTCTGCGTTGTCTCTCTGCATTCAAAGAGTATTCGTGCTTTCCCCATTTCAGGCCTTGTATCGTCGTGACCGCAAAGGTTTCCGGGTTCATTCCCATCGTCCCTTTGTTCTTTGCCTTTATATGTCGCCATTTTATCTTATTAGCGTTCCCAACGTCTTCGCCCTTGGAAAATGTGTTTAGTAGAAGATTCTGGCGGCCGATCCAGCAATCACTTTTCAATATCATCGGCCTCTGAATCGAAGTGAATGAAGCGATCTGAAATAAATATGGAGCCTAATTCTAATGCATCAATGAAGTTCCCCGCTGACGTCTCCCGATCCCAACATCTCCCCAGCTCCGGGAATGCCGTTTGCCAATCTATCTGAATTGCTCCGCGGCATGCTCCAAGAACTTGAGCATTTCCCGCTTAGACGCCTGCTCTCTAAGGCGTGCCGACTCTTGCTTCTCTGCCAGCGCAAGCATATAGTCACCTTCCATAGTAACTCCAATATTTTTGATATCGGCCGCCATGTCTTCACCAACCATCTTCAAGCCGTCACCAAGAACGTCTTTGACGTTTCCGATTGCGTCGCGGAACATCTTGACCTTCCGGTTGAGGACATATTCCTCAATTTTGGCTTTGGCCTTCTTCACTGATCCTTTTCCTATATTGGTTTGCAATGTGATTAGTATGGGTACCCAAAAGGTTCTCCCAGAGACCTCCGGAAGACATCCAGATTAACGGAACCATACTTACCACGCATCTGAGAACACTCCTCATAGCCAAGAGCCATCGCTTCGGCAACTGGCGTGGTCAACGCTCTGTTGGCGTCCTTCTGAGCCTCATCGACTCCCATTCGACTTTGAGCGGCAAGTCTAACAACTTTTGACTTGTGAAGGTCGAGTTGCCTACTAAGCTGCACGATTGCGGGTGATTCATCGTGATCGTAGTCTTGGATCCCAAGTTGCTTCATGACATCCTCGTGAAACACGCCTAGTCGGTGAGTCGCGGAGACAGAGAAGTTGTCGAGCACGCCTGGGATAGTGAACCGAAAGAAGTTTGCCCAGGTCTCTGTCAGGTTATCAGTGATAGGTCGCAACAAGTCTTCGTTGAAATTGT